TCTGCATGGAACTGGTTGACGGGTTTAAAAGAGAATACGGACACATATCAGTTTCTCGTTGCAATGATTTTAGCATGGAAGGCGTGGGATAAACGAAACAAGGAACATAAAGGGCAAGCGAGCTTAACCCCTCCTGACTTGGTAGACTGGTGCAAAAACTACCTGGCCATATTTCGTTCGGCTCAAATTCACAAGATCTCTCCACAACGGTATGTCCACACGAGCACGTGGCATCCTCCGCCAGTTGGTGCTGTTAAAATCAATACGGACGCAGCAGTTTCTTCGGGGAATCTTTTCTTTTCCGTCGGGATGGTAGCGAGGAATGATGAGGGCCAATGCATTTGGTGGAGAGTGATTAAGTTACACCGCAACTTACATCCTGCAGAATGTGAAGCGACGGCAGCGCTCAAGGCGCTACTCTTGGCGCGAGAAAAAGGGTGGACAAATGTGGTGGTTGAGGGTGACAATCTCCAAGTTATCACAGCTTTGCAACATGGCGAAAGCGATTTGTCGTCCTTTGGTTTATTGATAGATGAGTGTTTGCGCCTTTCTCTGGATATAGAATATTGTTCTTTTAATTTCGTCAAGCGTACGGGGAATTTGTTAGCCCACGCTATTGATCACTTTGATTGCAACTTTCTATCGGAGGGATTAGTTTTACCCTCGATCTTGGGTGGTTAGCCGTAATACTAAACCTTTTCTCAAAAAAAAAAAAAAGTACATTTAAACTACTCCCTCTGTTCCTAAATATGTGTCGTTTTTCACCTTGACACGAGTCTTAAGAATCTCAATAAATATATCTTGATTTTAGGAAAATAGATATAGATAAACCAAAATACCCTTATTTACTAATTAATGCAGAAAGAGTGTTGGAGAATTAATAAAGGTATAATTGAAAAATATGTAATTAATGCAGCATTGGAATTGTCAAGTGACATATAAAATGAAACAAAAAAAATTCTTAAAAGAGAATAGAGGTAGTACAACATAAGACATACAAAGGTACATTTAATGCAATAATATTGAACAAAAAATTCCACCAAATAAGTTGTCCATATGGAGAGGACAAGGCTCTAGAAATTCACATAAGTTAATTATTTGATTCTACCCAAAAAACAAACAAGGAAAAACTATTTATATTAAATTAAACATTAACTTCCAAATAACTAAATAGAATTTCACAAATAAGAGTAGTGCAAAGTGGAGCTGCTTGGTGAAGCTGCCAAATTGATTTCGGTTGAAAAATACTAAATTGCAATCTCGGTATGGTATTTGGTGTGAGAAACTTCTTGGAGCTTGTACTTCTTTTCATTCAACAAAAATAAGGAACATTCCTGCAAGGTTGTAGCAAGAGAGCTTTCCACGGAATTTGTCATAACTTCTTCTAGAGAACTCCAAATGACGCACCGTTTGAAGGGTTGGCAACTTCACATACAGAGCTTTCCAGACATATAATATTGATCCCAGTCACTACGGAATTAAGTATGAAGCTAACTTAGAAAACTTCATTAATTGTGTTCAGTAACCTTGAGGTTCACTCTTTTCTTTTAATGGAGGATAGTTACTGGTTCTCCAATTCCCCTCGTGGTGTCGAACCCATGACCAAATAATTCATACGTGCAAGGTGCTTACCACCATGTCATTGAATGTGATTACTCTTGATACTTCTTACAATTCAACTGAAAATAAGGAACATCTCGTTCCAGTTAGATTGCATCGAAACAAAGACCTTTCATCAGTCGTGGATGTTGCAATGCTCCTCCCGTGAAAGTAAAACAAAATGAAATAGAATCTGCATTAGCCAAATTCAAAATACAGCAGAAAAGTGAAAACAAGAATAATGCAAAATACAACGGTGAAATGAAAAACAATTGGTCCCTCAATGCAAAAGGATACAAAAGAAATCGAATATGCAAAATAAATTTACAAAATGCAACAGCAAAATGAAAGACCTACCCCAATAAAGAGTCACATATTCTTCAAGGTAGCATTTTCAAGCTACCCCAATAAAGAGTCACACATCGACTCCCACAAGTACATGAATGGATGGAATCAATTCCAAATGTACGATCTCTTCTATGTTACGCCCAAAACAACAATATCCAATATTTTTGCCCTCATGTTTCAGATTGCTCAAGAAACTAGATGCACTTGCAATCCGCTTGTATGACTTCCCACATCAATTACTTGCGTTACTTCACTTAACGTACGTTGCAATCACATGTGACGGAGAGCTCCCCAATTCCATATCCAGACTTTGGAATCTCGAAGTCTTGATTTTTGATCCGTATCACAACATCAAATTGTCAAATAATGGTCCGGTTTATCTGCCTATGGAGATATGGTACATGCATAAACTAAGGCAACTATATTGTATGGGCTTTGACATGCCAGCTCCTCCACCAAGTGATTCTCATCTTGTCCTTGAGAATCTTCTAACACTTTCAGGTGTGAGTGTTAACAGTTGTACTATGGAATTGCTTTCAAGAATCCCCAAGCTACAGAGAATAGCCATTCAGATTGTGTCGGCACACGACTCAATCGAAAACTTCAGTTTTTTTGGTAATTTTGCCACTCGCTACGAGGAATTTGAGTCGTTCAAATGTGTTGTTGTAAATCCTAATCTCAGGTCTCATGTTGTTTGTTGTGTTCCCAATTTTCCTGTGAACATTATAAAGATATGTCTGAGCGGATGTGGATTTCCTTAGGAGAACATGGAAGTGATTGCAGCATTACCGAATCTTAGAGTGCTCAAACTGCGATGGTATGCCTTTTGCGGCCCTTACTGGAAAATCGGCTATCTACAATTTCCGAGTCTTTTGTTTTTGCTGCTGGAAGACTTGGATATAGAGCATTGGGAGTCAGGCAGTGAACCATCAATTTATAGGAACAATGTGATTGTTGGGCATGGCTATAAATTTGAAAACATCCCGAATCAGTTCCGTTTCAGCGAAGTAGAGGTGGATGATTGGTTAATTCATATTGGTTAATGAATAAAAGAGAGAGGGTTTGTTAGCTAATCGGTTAGGGTTCTAGCTTAATCCTAACACTCCGCCGCTGCTCACCACCATCTCACCCCTCCTTCACCACCACCACCATCTTCTCCAAATCCGCTGCCCACAACATCTTTGAAATTTTAGTTTCCACCAATAAACTTTATGCGTGCCTCAAACCTTTCCACAATCTCCTATTTTGACGGTGGTGGCGGCAATAAGGCGAGCAAGAGAAGAGAAAAGAACAAAAATGTGCAATTTTTTGACCTAGCAGATTCGGTTTTTTTTTTTTATAAAGGGGTATTTATGATATTTCACCCTAAAAAGACTATTAAAAATCGCACAATCCGCGAGTGAGTGACACGATTTGGCTCTAGGGGTCTCGATGCTCTGACTTTGATAACACAAGGGGCTGTTGGTGAGTTTTTTTTTCCACATACTGTATTTGACAATTAGAGATAACACAGGGGTGGTATTTGCAATTAGCTCTATTACTTATTCGCCTCAGCTTAACGTAAACTATTTCCTTTTTTTTTTTTTTGAGTGCGCAATAGACATTTAATAACAAAAACACTTTTCATGGAGAAAAAGAAACGATCAAATATTTCCGAAGAGGTACTTTTAACCGGTAGATGTCATTTCATTGGGAAAAATACAGTTTTCGTCCCTCAAGTTTGTACCGATTTCATATTTGGTCCTCTATGTTCACAAAAAATACATTTGGTCCCTCATGTTTCAAAAGTTCAACACTTTTAGTTATTTTTGTCAAATTTCCATTAGCAGTACTGGAATCAAGCGTGTGTGTTGTACTGACTTAACTGACGGACTAACGATAAATTGATGGAAATGACAAAAAGTGTTAAATTATTGAAACATGAGGTACCGGATGCGTTTTTTATAAATACGTGGGACTTAATGTGAAATCCGTGCAAACTTGAGGGACGAAAACTGTATTTTTCCCTCATTTCATTTGATATTTATGTGAAAATTCTACGGTTAGAGTTTTTACATGCATAAATCATAAGCCTGTATTTCTTAGAACTGTAAACTAGTCTTTCAGGGAACTGTAAACTTATGTTTCGGATATTTCCTTGATTTATTCTGAAAGGCAATTAATAAATGTAAAAGGCAATTAATTTTACATAATTGAATTTGATGCTACTGATCATAAGCAATTCTGGAAATAACGTTGTTTTTTGTGTTTTACTTGTTTTTTTTTTTTTTCTTTCTGCAATGGCTTGTAACTTGTAACTTGTCACTGATAAAAAGAAGCGGGAGTTGAGAAGAGTCAACTTCGATGCTTTCTTATTTACTTGAAGCTGAGCATTAGATATTTAATGGAGTTTCAATTTTGGGGCCATTTCCATAAATATTTTGGGGCCATTTCCATGAATATTTAAAAGTTTTGGGGACGTTTCTGATAATAATGAAAAATTAAAAACACGTTTCCAGACAACAATTCCAAATTTCATTCTAAATAAAAACTCAGAATTGCATACGCTTAAAAAAATCTTAAATATTAAAACTCCCTTTCACTTCTTGTGGTGTTTAATATTTTTGTAGATGTTGATTCTACACTAAAATAAATTTATATGCCCCGAATGGAATTTGTGGAATGATATTAAACATTATAATATTTTTTTAGAAATTATGAATGAACCCCTATATTTTTATTATTTATGCGTGTCCTCACATTCTCGTATCCAACATTTTGGAAAACAGAGTTTCCCCATGTCTGTTTCCATGTTTCCCCGGGTCCGCGTTCTCGTGTCCGTGCTACATAGCTTATAAATACGAGGGTAAATTACAGTTTGCACACCTGTACTATCGAAAAGGTCGCATTCACCCCCATGCACTATCAAAATCTACAAATACACCCCTCTGCTTTTAACAGTCAATGGTCAGACATTTGACAGTGTTAACTTTTATTGTGCAATTACTCTTCTACCCTCGTTTTTTACGTCTGATGAATGTCGAAATATCTCCAAGTCCTTTCAATTATCTCACAACAACACACACTCACTCTCTACCGCTCGTTTCGAATTTTCATAAGGCAAAAAGGCTCACAAAAATCTCCCTCTATCTCAGAGTTTTCGCGAAATTGGTTTGAAGAACTATTATATGAGTGTATTTGAAGGACGCTTACTGTAGAAGAAGGTAAGATTTTCATTTTTAGGGTTTTTCTCAATTAAGCCATGAACTTGTGTAGGTGCAGTGAATTTTTTTGGGTTCTTGAATTCGATGCACTTTGAAGGTTTAGGTTATATTTTTGAGTAAAATTTAGGTGATTTTTTTTTTATTGTTTTCGATTTTTATTGTTCGTTGAAATTAGGGCTTTTCTCGATTTTTACTTCGTTGAAATTAGGACTGATGTAGTTCGAAATTAGGGATTTTCAGTTTTTTTTAATGGAATTTTATTGATTGAATTTTTTTTAATACATAAAAATGAATGATCAGTTGTTTACTCTTAAGATCCACCGAAGTTAATGGATTTGACTACATTGGAGGGATGACATCAGTTCTGCTAGACATTAACCTTGATGTAATATCTTATTTTGAAGTTATGGATTATCTTATTTTGAAGTTATGGATTCAGTGAAAGCAGCTGGGTACGAAAAGAAAACAGGAAAAAATGAAAAAAAGAAAATGAGGAAAAAGGGAGAAAAAACGAGGAGAAAGAAAACAGGAGAACAAACGAGAAAAAAGAGGAAAAAAATAAGAAAACACGAGGAGAAAAAAAGAGGAAAAAGAGGAAAAAAAAAAAAGGAGAAAAAACGAGGAGAAAAGAAAACACGAGAAAACACGAGAAAAAAAAGGGGAAAAAAAGAGAAAAAACAAGCTGAAAATGTGAAAATTTTGGTGAGAAAGAATGGGCAAGAGTATGCAGCATCTACAAAGTGATTTTTTGGGTATTTATGTCAGAAAAAGCCAACGGCTCTAAGAAACGGTCAGTCAACGCGTCTGACAAACGGCGTCAACAGTCTGTGCTAACGGCAGGGGGTATTTGTAGATTTTGATAGTACAGGGGGTGAATGCGACCTTTTTAATAGTACAGGGGTGCAAACTGTAATTCGCCCTACATACTACAGTATTATTATTATTATTAGGGGAAAATACAGTTTGCATCCCTGAACTATAGTAAGGTTTGTCCCAAACACCCCATAAAGTACAAGTTGTAACAAAATAGCCCCTCCATTTCTAATATGTTAGTAGATGATGACATGGCATGTTGACTTTTATGGTTTGTAGCAGTTTTATGACCGTTGATTCTTTTTGCGCTTTTGCCCCCAAGATTTGTACATATAGTTGTGTGGGGTCTGAAATACACTTTCCAAAAGCATGAGGCCGTAAATCAAAAGTCCTAATTTTCTGTTCTTTATCCAAAACCACCACCACCAGCACTCGTCTTTCACCATAAAAAACCACTCCACAACCCAGACATCATCACCACCGAAAATACATTGGCACACACCTACGCCGCCGTATTCCGCCGGCGGATCCGCGCACAGTCCCTTATGCGAAAATTGTGCCACCCAATTTTTGAATGTCAATCGCGCAACCATCTCACTATCGAAACAGCGCTGTCGAAAAAAACATTAATTAGCACACCGCCACAGTCCGACGGATCCCCCGCACAAACCCGCTTATTTCATATCCCAAAAATAGGTGTTTGATGGTAGCAAGAGTGTTGAGTTGTGGGTGTTCTTTAATTTTTAGTTAATTTGCTAAAACATAAAGTAAAATTATAAAATAGGATATAAAATATGTTGGGTTTCCTGATTTTTTTTGTTAATTTACGAATTTACGTTATGCCAAAGAAATTAGAAAAGTATATTTGAAATTGCTACTCCATCTCACGATGAAGAAGACTGAACAAGAGAAAAAGACAAAGAAAAGGTGGTGTTGGTTGACCGTGTTAGGTTTTTAAGGGCAAAAAGTGTTAAAGCATAAGAAAACTGATGGTGTGTGTATTTTAAACGTTGACCATAAATGGCAGGAACTATTTTGTGACAAGCCCTATAGTTCACGCAGTGGCGAGGCCAGGAAGTTTGGTGAGGGGGGGCTTAAACACATGGGGGTTCGGGGGCAGCGCCCCCGAAAAATTTTTTGCTACGAAAGAAATTTGAGATGAAAATTCGATATGAATTTTTTTTCCTTCACTTTCAGAAGATAATACCAAAACGAATCGGGAAAGCTAAATTGCTATGAAAATTTAAGAAACATGAATATCAAGTCGATTATCAAATTGACATAGAGAAGTTGTCAAATGCTAAAACGATCGTCGGTGGGTGGCAATTTAACCGCTATTAGTGTGACTGTGGGAGAGAACAAAGTTTTTTTTTTTTTTTTTAAGAAACGTAATGAAGTTGAGAAATAGAAGATGAGAGCAAATCATACATGATGGGCTTTGAGTAAGTCTTAAATAATAAAATTAAATAGACTAAAAAATTAAATAGAATGAATATATATATATATATATATATATATATATATATATATATATATAATATATATATCTATATCCATGGGGGGCTTTAAGTAAATAAATATAATATACATGGAGGACTTTGAGTAAGTGGACTAAAAATAAGTGGGCTTAAATAATATAATTGAATTGCCTAAAAAAAGAAATGAAATATATATATATATATATATATATATATATATATATATATATATATAATAGGAAGATTTTGGAAAGTGAGGGGGGGCTTGAGTCCACCCTAGCCCTTGGGTGGACTCGCCCCTGAGTTCACGTGCAAATTGTACTTTTCCGTTATAATAATAATAATAATAATAATAATAATTATTATTATTATTATTATTATTATTATTATTATTATTATTATTATTAGTGGTCATCAGCCACAAGATTTTCCTCAAAATGTAAAAATGTCGGTAGATTTCCCCCCAACACAATCAATCCACAGAAATTCCAAGAAAACACAACCCACATGAACTCCAAACTACTCCCACTATTTTTTCTGCAAATCTTATCAACTAATTGATCCTTATTACTACTTTCTCTCTCTCTCTCTCACACACACACACAGAGAAAAAAATGGGTTCTTATGCTGCTGTAATTTCCCTTGAGCAGACACTGAATCTCATCTCCGAATCCGATGATTTTCTTTCCCAATCAGAGAAGTTGTGTATCCTTGATGAAATGGATTCAGTTCTCGATAAAATGGGGGAGATTCCCAGCAGCAAGATAGTTGATGCGGCAGCTTACGAAAGACGAGTCATAGATGCTCTTCAAATATTCCAACATCTTATCGACTCTCACTTGCAAATACTCAAAGAAGAAATTACTTCGTTTCACACAGCAACCGACAACATCTGCAGCAGCAACAGGTATTCTAATTTTGCTTCTTCATATTATAATATTCACAATCAACAACAGAATCTTCTCGTGGGATTGGATCACCAAATTACATTCAAATGCGTTGTTGTAAATCCTAATCTGAGATCTCAAATTATTTGTTCAGTTCCAAACTTTCCAAGGAACATTATGAAGATAAGCCTGAGTGGATGTGGATTGCCTTGGGAGAATATGGAAGTGATTGCATCATTACCGGAGCTTAGAGTGCTCAAACTGCGATGGTATGCCTTTTGCGGTCCTCTGTGGAAAACCAGCACAGGACAGTTCCCTGTCTGGAGTTCTTGCTGCTGGAAGACTTGGATATAGAGAACTTGGAATTTGACATTCAATCTTTAAGGTGGGTGATTGTTAGGCATTGCTATAAATTGGAAAGCATCTCGAATCAATTCGAGTACTCCAAACTACTAGAGGTAGATGATTGCAGCCCATCCTTTATGAAGAAAATGCGCGAGTGTCGATCCTTTTTGGGTGCAGAAGTTAAAATACGTTCTTCAAGTACGGATATGTAAAGGTAATTAATGGTCGTCAAATCTATATGGAATTTTTTAGGGTCAATTGAATGGTACACTTGAAGAATCTAATATTTAGATGATCATATCCTAACAATTTTGACTATAGCAATATTTCTCTCTTTTTGTCCACACGGAAATACTCTATTATAAAAAAGAGTATTGGCCTATATAATAATTTTTCTTAGTTTCGAAAACTAGCGAAAACTATTGCATTCTATTTCACTGACTTGCAGTCTCTTCAAAGTGTTTCGAACCATTGAGCCTTTGACACTCGAAATAACGAAGATGTATACTCTAAAGAATGATACCAACAAATCAGTGGCGTTTTAGTTAATATTGTATATTTCATCCTATAATCATTTTTCAGTTCATTAACCATTATATATCTACCAGATCAATTCTATGTTGATTTTCAACTTAGTTGCACGGTGAATTTTGCTTTTTCAGGGATAATTACGTTTTTCGTCCTTATACTTTACCACTTATTCGTTTTTCGTCCCTAAACAAGTTGGAGTGACATTATTCGTCCCTAAACATGCCATTTTTTAGCATTTTCCGTCCTGCCGTTAATTCTTGCTGTTACTTTGGATGGAAATCTGACGTGAACCTGAAAATCTTAATATATGCTGCTGACATGGACGATTATTCCACGTGGCTATCACATGTATGCTGCTGGGTAATTTGAGCCGCCATGCACATTCCATTTCAACTTTGCAAACGAGCCACCACCGTGCAAGAGACCTATTCCCACCTAATTAAGAGGAAATTTGCAGAATTGAATGTGAACGATACAATTATTGTATGAATAATATTTATTTTGACTTTGCATGAAATTTCCATATTTTAACTCAAAACATACAGTGAAATAACCTTTTGCAATTTGTGTGCATACACACACTTTAGAATTAATGAATATAGAAGACATGCAACTACATCTAATATTTTTTTTCTATTCAATATTATTAGAGACGATTGAAGACTGCATCAATCAAAAAACAAGTATTAATAATATAGGATTAATATCCCCTTCAGCGCCATGACAATTTTTGTTTTTTTGTTTAAATGAGTAGTTAACGTCAATTGGGTTTTCGTCCAATATGGAGATAATATAATGACTAATAAGGTTAGGCAATCTAAATTAAAGTTTACAAAATTACAAATCGTGAAAATCGTCAATATGTAACAAAACAAATAATTCTTGTTGAGTAGCTTAACATATTATAAATTTAATTCAAAAAATCCAAATATATTAATTAACATCTTCTCTCTTCGTAGAAAAACATCATTCAAAATATAAATTGCATTGCATCAGATTTTTGTATGATGGAAAAAATTGTCTTTTGGGGATTATATATTGAGGCTATTTACGAGTCCAAAGAGGTGTGATATTGAAGAAATTAGCCATTTGGAAAAGAAGGCTTATGTTCTAAAGAAGATGCAATCTTAAATTGAAGAGAGGGGTTGACTCTTACGTATCATGTGCGAAGCACATGTTATTTTCCGTCCAAACTAACCAGCCAAATTGACGGAGGGACGAAAATAGCATAAAAATAGCATGTTTAGGGATAAATAATGTCACTCCAACTTGTTTAAGGACGAAAAACGAATAAGTGGTAAAGTATAGGGACGAAAAGTGTAATTATCCCGCTTTTTCATCAGTGAATTTTTGGTAAGCTTGGTCTTTGAAAACGTTGAAGAGAGGTTTTGATTGATTTTTCTTTATCTGTGTGTACAGGACTATAATAAATTCCAAATGGCTAATCGTGTGTTGCTCGGCGATTGAAATGCCTCAACTATTCAAATGAAGATGAAGATTCCTCTTCGGCAAGTGTTGGCAAAATTTCAAAGATTTCGTAAAACTGTTTATAATTTGATATTTTCCTGTTTTTGTAATCTTTTTTTTTTTGGTGATCATTGAAACTTATGTTTTTGGATATTTTCGTAATATGCTCGTGAGTCCATTCTTGTAACGTAAAAGCTATTTAATTTTATTTAATTTTTACTTTTGCAATGGCTGGAAATAAAAAAAAAAGTTTAATGGATTCGATTCTATCAAATGATTGTTGAATGTGAAATCTATCTCCCTGTAAGTTGTTAGTGAATATGGTTAACGTATGAAAGCTCATTTCAAGATCAAGTTCAACTCGTAACTCGACTAGAAAAAAATGGAAATGAATAAAATTTCAAAACAAATATAGAAAACTCTAAATTACAATATATTTTTAACCAAATCAATTAAACTATAGAAATTTTACGGAAATAAAATAAATAAAAAACCAAATTGTGTTTTCAAATAAAAAATTATTACAATAAAAAAAAAAAAATTAATTGCAGAAACACCCCCGGAGTATTTTGGTCTTTTCACAGCTGGTCAATGGGCTAAATATAAATGGGTTGAATGTGCATCCTAAAAATAAGCACAAGGGGGTATTTGCTAATTTTTTTATGATAAGGGGGAATCGCACAATTACGAATTTCACAGGGGTAGTAAATGCAATAAACTCTTTTTTGTAATGCTAATGTTACTTCGGCTGAATGTATTAAAAATGTTTTGCAAATATACGCCGAGGCCTCGGGCCAGAAGGTGAATTAGCAAGACGACTAGTACAAATAATATTTCTTTGATTCGCTCGATAATTCCCATGGAGGTGGTTGATAAACACGATAAATATTTAGGCCTCCCTTCCGCCTTAGGAAAATCAAAACGGGAAGCTTTCGCCTATCTTCGCGATCGAGTGTGTCAACGGCTTCAAGGATGGAAAGAAAAGTGGCTTTCTAAGGGGGGTAAAGAAATTCTTATAAAGTCGGTGATCCAAGCTATTCCATTCTATGCAATGAGTTGTTTTCGTCTCCCAAGGTACTTTAAGGAAGAAATTGAGAAGCTTATGAGTAAGTTTTGGTGGAAATGTCGACAAATGAAGACCGCCTTATTTGGCATTATATCAAGAACGGTTTATTTTTTGTCCCTAGTGCCTACCACTTTGCTGTTAAAGTTGAGAAAGAAAAGGTTGGTCTTACTTCAGCAAGTTTCTCCTCCTTGACTCCTTTGATTTCATGGAAATGGTTATGGAACTTGAATCTTCCGAATAATGTTAAGATCTTCCTTTGGCGATGCTTCAAGAACCTTCTACCCACTCGACAAAATCTTGTAAAAAGACAAGTCTTTGATGATACCCTATGCCAAATATGTGCTGTAGGTGAAGAAGATGTCATTCACAGCCTATCTTTATGTACGTTTGCTAGACAAGTTTTAAATTTGTGCTAATTTCGTTGAGGGCAACGAAAATTTTAAATTTGGGGGTGAAAAACATATGTTTATGCTTATTTGTTTTAGTTTGCATGCATTAGGCTTTATTTGTTTTTGTTGTTTTTATTGCTTTTATCGTTATTTTTTTCCGGAATATAAAAAAAAAAAAAAAAAAAAAGAAATTGCTTGAGTCGAATGCATCGATGATTTATGATGATGAGAGATGGTCAATGTTTGATGATGAAATTGCTTGTTTTGTGTGATAAGGATTTGATGTTTGTTTAGCTTTCGATTCAACGGAACTTAGAAGCAAATTATTGCTAGGAATCACATTTTGTGCATTGCTTTGGTTGAATGTTTTGTATATTAAATTTGGAATTAATTTGTGCTAGATCATGCTATGTTCGGTTTTTAGACTCACCTTAGGAATTTTATGATACGAAGTATTGAGTAGTGAGTGATTTGGGATATGATTTGGGCCTTCTTTGAACCGTTTGAGCCCTTCAAGCCGACCTTTTTTTTTATCGAAATTATCCTTAGAACCTTGATTTGAGCCTCGGAGAAAAGGTGTTCTTTCTTTTAGCCAATGTGTAAGGTAGAATAGGTGGAGATTCTTGAAAAATTACCCCTTGGAGTTCGGTCGAAAAATTTTATAAGGTCCTTCTTCTTCTTCGAAAAAAAAAAGAAAAAAAAAAAGAAAAAAAAAAAGAAGACAAATAATTATGCTTCTATATAAATATATATAAAAAAAAAAAAAAAAAAAAGAAAGAGAAGAAGAAGAAGAAGAGACTAGAAGGGAGAAATAAGGACTAGTTGTTAAATTATTTTTTGAAAACTCGATCCATTGCCTCAAAAGCAAAAGTGGAGACTTTTGAACTTTTTAAAATCGAGTTTATTAAAGTCCATAGAGGTGAATTCATTGTATCAAACGCCTATCTTTCAAATTTTGGCGAAATCACCTAAATTCAAGAAGAATAGCCACACATACCCATATTTCCTACCTCGAACCAAAGAGCCTAACAATTGAAAGCCACAAAGCCCCAATGATCCCAATAGCTTAATGTTCGATATTAGTAGACTAGAATAATTTGGTGAGTATTTTGAGTCAAGCATATGCATGTAAGTATAAATTATTTCTATCTTTAATTTGCAAATATTGGATGCTTGAAGCAATTGTATGAATTGTGGTTTTTTGTAATGGCGAGTGACTAAGTGTTGTTGAATTTTGAGCTTGCGAATGCCTAAGAATTGTCATTATAATTACAAGTTCTGAAAACGTGAAGTTGATCATTGATCTATGTGATGAGATGTTATAGTTGAGTTATTTGCTTATTGGTAGATTTTGCTTGAGGACAAGCAAAAGTTCAAGTTTGGGGGTGTGTTAAGTGTATATTTTTACACTTTATCGTACCTTTTTATTTGAGCTTTTGGTGTGTTTTAACGATAATTGGTACTTAAAAAGTTGATTTATTGTATTTTAGGTACAAATTGAAGAATTGGAAAAGTATGGGGTCAAAACTGCAATTTTGGAGAAAATATGGGCCAAAAGTGAAAAAATCAAAATTCTGAAGATTTAAAGCTCGGACCCCGTCCGAGTTTTAGTGCAAATTCTGGGACCCCCGTCTGAGAACCAGAAGCAGTGTCTGGTTGTGAGACGGTCGTCCGAGTTTTAGTACAAAATTCGGGACGGCCGTCCGAGATGACGAAAAAACGCAGTAAAGGAATCCTAATTGCACAAGGAAACTACCTTCTTCCCCAAGTTTTCCACCCTATATAAGACCAAGTCAAGCACACAATTAGGGATCAATCTTTGGACGCAAATTCAAGAGCAAAGAAGATCAACGAAGATTCAAGCATAGTTTTTCTTATTTAATTTATTTATTTTATTTTCTTTATCATAAGAACTACGAGTAGCTAAGTCTTTATTTCTAGGATTTTATTTTGAACCCTATGTGGGATTTATGAACCCTTTTCTATGATTTTATGCAAGTTTTAATTCCGGATTATTTCTTCTACTTGTTTTATTAAGTGCATGAACTTGATCAACTTATGTGCTTTTATGTTATTGTTAATCGCATGAATCGGAAGATCGGGTTAATAATTAGAACTGTGGTAGAAGAGCCTTTGTGGTATTAACATAGGAATATAGTTAATCTCTTAGGTAGCCATTATTGAGATTTGTGCTTAATGCTGTGTTCTAGAATTAATTGCATAGGAATATAGTAATTGAATCTAGAGTACGTATTAAAATCGTAATACACGCGGAAGCGGGTTATGATTATTTTAGCATCCCAGGTTAATAAT